CATTTTAGCCAGAAAGTCGTTCTGAGACCTACTCGGCTGAGTCCAAGGAGGAAGGGTATTCTACATTTCATCAAAAATAATTGTCCATGGATCATTAATAATTAGGACATATAAGAAGGGGTTTTTGATGATAATTATCCAACTATGACAGACTATATTGATATTCAGGTTTGTCTCTTGCCCTTGGCAATCCCCTCTGCAGTCTTCCTTGGAAACTGGCTACATCCTGAAAAGGACAGGCAGATAGAAATCTTACAAATTGGAAAAGAAAAAGATAAAGCTAGAAATAGATACTCTTCTTTTCAAAATCATAATAATATGGCCTTTGCAACACATTGATATATATATATACAGATTACAAACATAAATGTACACAGATACAGTCAAGACTTCTCTAAAACAAACTTTCTTAGCCAAAGAAAAATTCTTCATCCAAACCCATTACCTATTCTACCTTTAAATGTTTTCTTTTTTTTTTTTTTTAAACCTGAATATGTCACAAAAACTAGCAAAAACCCCTTAACCATAATTTCCTTTTTTTCACTTGAAGAACAAGTAAGGTTATGTTTTCTCCAACACTCAGGACAGAGGGAGCGTGTGAGTTTGTGTAAGAGGGGGAGAGCTATATGGTGACGTATCTACTGTATCCACTCTGAAGTACATCTTTCTAAATGCAGCAAATAACCTCAAGGAGCATCCCCCCCAGGTTTTAGCATAGCATTAGGTACTATGGCAAAAAGAAAGATTTTTAGTATTATTAAACTGGCACTGCTAGGTCCCCGTTTCCATGCAAGTAATAATAATAATTGTTTTATTTCTAGTAATAGTTGATAACTTTAATCTGCCAGTCCTCCCAGGACTAGAGGTTATTCAGTCACTCTTGCCCTAGTAAACTAAATGGACTTCATGAATATCCTGTGGTCAAAAGCTGGACCTTATCTTGCCACATCCTCATCTATTCTGCTTCTGTTCATGTTGCATGGTCTCTATAGTTGAACACACTGCCTCTCCAAGAAACAAGAGGTGTCCTTCCTCTCTTTGACCCATGACAAGTGCAGCCCCTAAGCTTTCATGATGGGTAGGGGGAGCACAGGGTGACAGGCAGCTTACTACTGCCCTCAGCATACAATTCATTTCAGCACAAGGGAGTGAAGACAGAATTCACATCCTTCATTCATCTTGTACCAGCTCACAGGGCAATGAGAACACTTTAAAGGTACCAAGCAGAGTCTTAAAAGGTAAGTAAGAATCGATAATCACACATATGAGATTGCTAGGTATACTGGAATACTAGAAAATTATTTCCTGATTTGAAATTCTTGACCTAGAAAAAAAAAAAAAATCTTCTATCTCCTTTACATTGGGCTGTGGGCAAGTTCTACAACAGAAACACATAGAATTATTCTAAAACCATTTTGGATACCATATTGTGACTGCAAGTACTGAAAAAAGAATTCTGGGAAATAAAGGATCAAAGCATTAATAAAGTTTCATCTAAGTGCATTAAACAGCTTTAAGTAAAAAATATACAAGATTTCTCTTTATCATGTCATAAAAATATTAAAACTGATTTGCTATGTATGCTCAATGAAAAGGAGGAATGGTTTCACCCAAGACAATGAAGCAGTACCAACACCAATTCAATTAAAAAAAGACAAGTAAGTTCATTCTTGTAGTGGTCCAGAATATGCAAAGCATTTTAAGACAGTTATCTTACGTAAGCATACAGAAAAAGTACAGTCTTAAAATTTATGAAAATCAGAACTGTTAAAAAATGAAAAAGTAAACCTAAACTTTTAGTTGCCAATTTTTTTTTTTAATTCATCAATATCCTGTTTCTTTTGGGGAAGAAACAAAAACCTGAAAACCTTAGAAAAAGTATGTTATAAATGGTTTTAAAGTTTCTAAAGAAAATCTTTTATTTGATTCTTCTAGAGAACAATTTTTTGTGGCCTCTACTTACTGTTTACCAAAATTTTCAAATATAGAAATTATTATGGATTGGTAAGCAGACAGAACACAAATGACTTGTCAGAAGTAGCAAAAAATTCAGAATTACTGAAAACACTGAACTTGGTATTTATTTTATATTTTATTCTGAAAAATAATCAACATGATAATTTGAGTCTTAAGTTGACAACTATACCAAAACCTTTGTTATGCTCTTATTGCTTTCACTCCGGTAACACAAATGTGTTTTAAGTATCTGTTATTTCATTGAACAGTAACAAAAACTCCAGACTTTCCCCAGCCACACCGCCAAAGCCTGAACTGCTCTCACACAGAAAATACAACTGGACTCAATACAAATTGGGAAATATAATAACCAGCAAGAAGAGTAGAGTCTGTAAATTTAAAGCGAATTCCTTTTAGTTATACATGACAAAATGTTTCTCCAGAGTCCATAAGAGAATATCTAGTTCGTGTTACAGATTAACAATTAAATACATAGTTTCAGTTTTGGGGAAAAAAAAAAAAAGGTGGATATTATTTTTACATGTTTTAACAAAGTTCTCTACCTGGTCTCATGTTTCATAAAAACTGCCATGCTGCTGCTCTTAAATTCACTTACATAACCTCCTACTGTGGTCATACTTCACAATGACATACTTTGGCTATGTATCAGATGTAGCTAGTTAATTTTATTACTTTTAGTAGCTATCACAGCCCTTTATTTTTCTTCCGTTACAACTAGAAAAATAATCTGTCAGGCATAAGAAGCAGTCCTATTCCTTAAATGTAGAAGAAGCTAAGGAGCCAGGAAAAGCCCAGATCTTTTCTACCAAGTGGAAGATGTTCTAGCTTCTACATTGAAGGATGAAATCAGCACCTTGCACATTAGGAGAGTGCTGCAAAACCATTAAGTACCTGCTAAATGAACATATTCACACTTTCACTCCCCTTTTCTGGAGGTCAGTTACCATCTGGCACAGACTGCAAGACTCCAGGGTTCATCCAGACAGGAGACATCTGAAGCCTGACTCCAGCACAGTGGTGAGAGCACCAAGCTGGTCTCTCTCAGTGTCAAGAAGAGTGGTTTCTGCCTATGAGTTTGTAGTGTTTTAACCCCAACCGGCAACTGAGCCCCAACCCAGCCACCCGCTCACTCCCCCCAGTGGGAGAGAGGACAGAATCAGAACAGTAAAAGCAAGAAAACTTGTGGGTTGAGATAAAAACAGTTTAATAATTTAAATATAATAATAATAATAAAAAGGAAAAGGAAAACAACAGACCAGAGAGGAATAAAACCCAGGAAAAACAAGTGATGCAATTGCTCAGCGCCCACCAACCAACACCCAGCCATTCCCAGAGCAGCAATCGCTGCCCCCAGTTTCTATACTGGGCATGATGCCATGTGGTCTGGAATAGCCCTTGGGCCAGTTGGGGTCAGCTGTCCTGGCTGTGCCCCCTCCCAGCTTCTTGTGCACCTTCTTGCTGGCAGAGCATGGGAAGCTGAAAAGTCCTTGACTTAGTATAAACATTGCTTAGCAACTACTAAAGCACCAGTGTGCTATCACATTTTTCTCATGCTAAATCCAAAACACAGAGCTATGCCAGCTGTTAGGAAGAAAATTAACTATCCCAGCCAAAACCAGGACAGAGCCAGAAGCTGCCTGTCCCAAGGAAGTCACTTCCTGGCACAAGTGACTGGCTAAACTTTATCACACCGGAAATTTTCAGGTTTAGGTATGAAAATTGAAGTCAAATGCCAAAAGTGTTAAGCCTGAAGTCCTAGGAAAGCTTAAGACTTAGTTATAGATGTTTGAGTTCAAATTTATGTAGCCATGTTCTAAACAAAAGCCTCTAAAGAGAAACATATTAATACATATCAAGATTAATTATATTTGCTCAGCTGTCTCTTTAATCTAAGTAGTTCATGGTAAGGATCTCCATAAACACATGCATGTTAAAGTGCAAAAACAAAACTACAGGCACCCAGATCAGTGACTTGTAATAGATGATCTTAATTAGATACAAATTTCATGGTCCATATTTGTTCAAGCAACAGAACTAAATATGTAAGATGGCTGCTTTCCTTTACAACTGGGTAGAAAATAACCAAGTTAAAAGTGCATGGTTCTTGACATGATAGTTATAGGCAGACAACAGAAACATCTCACTGAAAATGGAAGAAATACACTAATAAAAGTTTTAAGAATTAGCTTCCCCAAAATTATTATTGTATATTATTCTCAATATGAAAATACAAGTCATTCTAGATTTAACTTCTGCAGCATTTTCTGTTTTTTAACCCAGTCAATGCTTTCTTTATTTTGTTACCAAGTCATACCATATTAAGTTAGTCATCTTTTGCAGGAATACATTTAAATCACTTTCTCAGTAATTAGTTTTTCTATAAACACTGCTGAACAGACATTTTCCCTCAATTTTCAGAACTTCAAGAGCAAAGTTCTTCTGTTGATTTCTCCAGTCACCATTCTTCACACAATCATACTCAATAACAACATCAGGGTGAAAAACATTTCAAGTCATACCTCGCCTTAGTGAAAAATCAGAAAACTGATTCATTTGGGTGGCATGCAAACCAATCTAATAATCAATCAAAATTATTTATAAAATATATCATTTAGTTAAACTATCAACACAACTGTCATAGACATTTTCGCTTTTTCTCTCTAATCCTTGTTTTGTATTTCTTATCTCAATCCTTTGAGGAAGCAGTACTAAAGCTGGCTTTTAATCCAGAATGAGTATTTAAAATAACATTTACAGTCTCATCTGTTCTTAATACAAGTGTCTGAACTGTACTAAAAATGGCAATTTATCTTGAAAATTTATATTAAAAATATTTTTAAAAAAATCTTCACCCATTCTTAGAAATACTTAAGTTTAAATTGTTTCTGGAATACCATTAGTTATATAGAATGCAGCACTAAAAAGAAAAGCATTTAAAAAGGCAAATAATATGTTTTAATTTGAAACCATGATTAAAAGACCAAAAATAAAAAACAGAACAGTCAGAAATGGTTCATACTGACCTGAGTCCATAAAGGACCGTCCCATCTGGATGCAAACGGATCATTCTGTTCTTCACAGTGACACCATGCACGAATGACTTCTTGTCATTCAGAAAATAGGTATCAGGAACCCACAGCTGATCAGCTACTCTGTTGTCCAGAGTAAGGTTTAGAGGTATTACGTTATACGACAGCCTCTTATCCCTCCATGCTTGCTGAAAGTACATTGTCAAGGTATAGTCCTGTGATTATAAAAATAAAAAGAAGTTTTCATTGAAACAGACAGTATACATATGAAAAAAAAAAGCAAATACACATTTATTCATTGCAACTGGTCTTAAAGGCCATCACGTCTATTCAGAATTTCCAGTACTGAACATCTTGTGTATACTTAACAGAAATGAGAATACAGAAAATATAGGGTATTTACATTTTATAAATTATTTGGGAGTTCTTATTTCAATATTTAAAAACAAAATGGAAAAAAATTGTAGATGCTTAACAGTCTGCAATTTCTGTAGCATTTTACAAGCCTGGAAGTTCTAGGAAACAGGAACATTCACAGATCTGAATTTCATCTCATGGAATTCACTGTATTCAGTAGAATTCTGGATCAGGCTTTTTATCTCTGAAGTTGCAGCTACCACCCACTTCTCTAAATTAAAATCTCTTCAAAGTCTGTTAACTTTCCCCTGGGCACTGAAATCAATGGGAAGTCTCTGAGGTTTCTATGCTACAGAGTCTTAGTCTTCTACTTAATTTTACAGATGAAGTAACTCTGGTTACTTCAATTGAACAGTTCAGAAAGCACAATTAAGCATCTGGGTAAATATTTGCAGTATTATGAGACTTGCTTTTGATGCTTCTTGATGCAGGCCACTGATGTACATACAGTACTTTGGAGACTTTTTGATCTTTTGGTGGTTTAAAGAACAATGTAATTACAAAAATTATATTTTTGTAAGACTTGTTATATACAGGCAGAATATTCATTATACATAAACCTACACTAAAAAACTCCATAAATAATACACAAAGGAGTTGTATATCTGTCTGATCGGGGATCACTGGGTTAAGGGCTGTAAAACAAAGCTTGAAGGAATATCAAAAGCAGGAATATTCTAAAATCAATATTTTGTTTTGTTTGTTCTACAGAACTCATGATCAGGCCTCAGACTATTTTGATTTAGAATTCGTATTTAACACGGACTTCATTAAATAGCGAGAACTGTTAGCTTACAAAAGATTGCTTTCAATAGAAAGTCAACAAAAGCTGCTGTGATTATCAGCAGCCCTGGGATTCAGCCATATCAGAGTATGAAAGTCTGTATCTATACATCTATCTGAGGCACCTGCCAACGAGTAATCCCACTCAATTTAGAATGAAAAAACATTAATCTTCCTGTTGAAATACTTTAAAAGCACCTGCCACAACTGTATTTTACAAGCATTTTCATTTAAAAAAAAATTGACACACAAACACTATATAAAACTCCTCACAGTAAAAGTATATACACACACAGAAGTAAAATTTCTTATTTTGCAGTTTCACAGACTAAACTTTCAAAAAAAAAAAATCACAAAAATGTCCCCATAAGAAATAATTGCAATCTACTTTAAAGAAAAAAAAAGTTTTCTATTTCTAGAAATTATCTTTTTACAATATAGCCTAAGACTTGATGAACACCCAGACTTATAAAAGGTACATGGAAAAGTTACCTTCCTTGGTGAATGGGAAAAGAGACACACTACATTTCCTCTACTTCTATGCAGAGAGGTGGGATTCATCCTACTTAAGCCCAAGCCCTGAAGACACATCTCCCTCCACTGATTTTATAGCACCTAGGGCAATCAGTCCTAACCTACACATCTCAGTAGAGCACCTCCAGTTCAGTGAAAGTAATTCAAGCCAGTGTCAATGGCAAATTAAAAAAAAAAAAAAAAAAAAATAAATCAAAATCAAATACAATTTTTATTACCAATGTCTGCGTATCCAGAAAACTGTTTTTCCTTTCTTTATTAATGAAACTTTTTATGCATAAATTAAATTGGTGTGATTATTCACGTTAAAATGTACACGGTCCACCTTTAAAAACATGCATTAGGGAGGGCATGTGACAACTATGGCTATTTCAGCAGAGTTCTATAGGCAAGGACACAGCACCTAGAAACTAACTGACCCTGCCTCTTCTGCACAACAGTCTGAGCTCAGGTGAATCACTATAAACTGTTTTTCTACAGCAATGTAGAAAAGTATTTTCTACATTGTATTTTCGTGTGGAGACACTCTTATTTTTTATGTGTCTTTCCCCAAAAGAGCCCACATACATGAGCTTGAAGCAGGGAGAAATACATGTTCCTGTTGAGAATTATTATGGCACTTCTTCCTTGTCAACACAAAACCAGATTGGTAATGCTGTCCTTTCAGCCTTCTATGTGCGATGGTAAAAGGTTAATTACCTTCACGTCAGCCCTGCGCTGCCGTTGCTAACAGAAGCACGTACAGCCAGCCCATACACAGAACGCTGCTCAGCTTTGGTAGGGTGTCACAAATTGCACAGATACAAATAGGTAAACACCAAATAAGTTTTTCCAGTTATTTTACTACCAAATATATTTACTTGGTAACTATTCTAATCTGATCAATTTTAATAATCTGAAACTTCTTCCCCTCCCCATCCCCCCTTCAGGATCAGGATGAGAATCTGCTTTACAGAATGTTCCACCTACATCTGAAGAATTTTACTGTTATGCTTCATTATTGTTCTGCAGTATTTGATTCAGAACCAGATACTAGAAAATGTTCAGTAATATATTGCCAATAAGAAAATGTATTAGTCTTCACTGTACTAACATATCACAACATAAAGTAGATGAGCTGCAGCAATTGCTCCCTTGTTGTCCTTGCAATGGTGTATTTTATTCCTATTCGAAGGAATAATCTACATGCATTAATATATAGCGCATATATATATAAAAACATGTTTGCTGATTTACGCCTCAGTAGAAGGGGAAAAAAAGAGGAAGAAAACTAAACATGCATGGTACAGTGCATAAAAATGGATTACATAAAATGTAAATTGGAGCACTGGTATAGCTGAAAGAAAAGCCAAGTCACCAGGCTGGAGTTCAGCATCAAACACACTGTGTTCCAGAAACAGTGCTGGTGTTCCAACTAAAAATTATTTTTCATCTGTTGGTTCTAGATTTCAGATGAGACAAAACAGGACACCTTAAATATTTTTTTATAAAATCCTTACAACCTTTTGGATTTAGATGAGGTTTTGCCGTTTGGGTTTTTTTTTTTTATTATTATTAAAAATAAGTGTGTTCCAAGCTATATATTTCAAAGTATAAGTGATTGGTTAGAAAAAAATGACAACTTGCCACATAAGCTGCAATTCATTCCTCAGAAAGGAGGGAGGCATCTGTCTTCAAATTCCCAAATGAAACAGTAATTCAAAAAGATGTGCAGGTACAAAACATCCATGAAGTATCCCAAGCCACTTTATACTTTGAAATTAAGAACATGCTCATAGGAATGCTACAGGAAAAATGTGTGTTAAACTCACATTAAATGTGGGAATTCCCCTCTATTCTAGAGTTAAACATCAAAACAAACTTGCAAATATCTTGCCTCTTCAGGAAGACAGGCACACAAGAAGTAGAGGAATAGAAGTGGGTTGTAAAGCATGATTTCAATTTTTTCAATGCCTTAGCATCCTGTTAAATTCACAGGATGGGATTGTTAGCAGCTTAGTGTAAGTATGCAGATGAAACAGGAGTGAATTCATTCAAGAGCCTAGCACAAGGCAGCAATTACAAGGAGTTGAAAGAAATAAGAAACCAAGCTTCATGATGACTATGTCCGTGTGTACTATTGCACAGACATAAGCTACAAAGGTACAGACTGTTTACAATACAGGCATACAGAGATACATTGCACAAATATAAACAAACAGGTTCATCGGTTACCCAGAGCATGTGGGGCTTGAACTGCTGTACAAAGGTTTGTTAGTACAGACAAAGTTACAAGCAAAACCTGGAATATAAATAAGCAAATACTGTATTTTCTGTAAATACACAAATATTAAAATTTGTATAGCTTTCATTATTATTCCATTGTTTACACACATTTAAATTTAATAACCTTTTTTGTTCTGTCCAGATGAAGAAATTTAAGCAACATAAAATGGATGATTACTCCTATTCTATCCTGATCAAGGATGTCTTTTCCTCACCAGTTAAAAGTTCAGCTTCCCAGTTTTCTTTTTTTCACACAATGAACAGAAGAGCCGCACATGAGACAAAGCTAATCTTAATGCAAATTTTCTCACTTGAATAAAAAAGTAATGAACAGTTTTATTAGTATTAGGATATTATAACTTTTATCCTGAACATTATCTTTGTGCAGTGGTTGTCTGCAAACACTTTTAGCTGCTGGAAACATACATAGTCTGAGAGATTTAAACTTTAACTTAGATAAATGTAATTGTTACAGACAGCCAAGTTGTCAGTAAATGACCATCAACTTCAACGATCCAAAGGAAAACACCGCGCAGGAAAGCATCAAATCTGAAAACTGGCACTCTCATTTATATTCTCTCATTTCATTAATACTCCCAAATAAAAGTTTTAAGCCAAAAAAGAAACACCAGTTTGGGCCTATTATTAGCTTAAAACACAGGCCTTAGCTAAACCCACCCATGGGCCAATAAGTGTGAAATGTGTATTGCTGGTCCTCTTTTTATACTGGAAAAAAGATCAAGGTAAAAAAGGAAATAAATGTAATGAATGTTCACAATGACAGTGGGAGTCTAATGCAAAAGTCTGTACCAGATGTAATTTTTTTCAAAGCATGAAGATAAGGTGCAGTGTGATAAAAACAACATTTAAGATGTGGTTCTTCCTTCTACATTACACAAAACAGGACTGATTCACAGTGCAGCTTAAAAATGTATACCAACACTTGTATTAACAGGGATATAATACAGCTACTGAAACACTTTGGAAATAACAAAATTAGGAAACTTTGGAGGGAAAAAAAAATAAGTAGAAGAAACATTCTGTATGTTATAAATACAACATACAGCAGCATAGAGTTAAAGAAGTTATTTATCTCTAGTCATCAATAATGAATGGAGAACTCATTTGCAGTTTGGCTTAAGTCCACTTCTCATCACTTGCCTGGCTATTCCTAACTTGTAAAAATACTTCATTACATTTCCCAGTATGGCATTTT